TACAGCATTTTTTCACACCTGCCTAAAACTTTTGCACAGTACGGTATATCTATGTATATCCGGTGATGTCTATGTAACAGGCTCAAATTATCACATTTTGGACATAATTATGTTAAGACCAAGTTCTTTTGAGAGGTCAATAATGCCAGGAAAGGTGGAAGGAAAGAGGACAACCAGCAGCTGCAATGGGTACACCATTGGAAGATTTGAAGGGCTGGGTTGGGGATTTATCAACCTGAAGAAAGACTTATCTAGGTGGTCACTAAGAACTGACACCAATTTGGTGATATATAATCTAAGGTGGATTAGCATTCAGATACCAATTAACATTGGTTTGAAGTGGCTAAATGTTGTTAAGTCATTTAAGTTTAATAATGGGCTAATCAGGGAGAAGTAGCATAAATTAAATCTAGAGAAGATAAAGTGAGTTAGAAAGTACAGGTAGTCCTCATTTAGTGACCACAATTGCGATTATCAACTTTGTTGTTAAGTGAAGTGGTCACTAAGTGAAACTGTGACTGTGCCTATGATCTTACTTCAGCTTTCCTTTGCTTTACAGACCTGCAAAGGTCATAAATGAGAGAATTGGTTGTAAAGTTTCATCATCGTCGTAACTGTGAATGGTTGCTAAATGAGGCAGTCACTAAATGAGGACTGCCTGTAGACTCAAGAACACAGCAGTAAGCTACTCTGCATAGGAATGCATTTTGATCCTCAACTGTCACTGGACCATATGGTAGCTGTGACATTTGGGATTCCAGCTTTTCTCAGGTGACCCCTTTTCCCTATTAGTGAGGCCTGCAAAGGTTATCTCACTGCCCCATAAAGGGGCTTGGCGCAGGATCCCTGATAGCTCTCTACAAAAGCAAACTATTAAACCTGGCCAAGCTCTGTGTATATCTCTACCCCCCGGCCCCCCATGTTCCATTCAACATACAGACATTGTGAAATGGGCAGTGCCTGGATTTTAGGATCAGATGGTGTACTTGGCTCTGTTTCCCTCTTTACACATTGCAGAATGTGGAGACTTTGCTGAAACGCTTTTCTTTATAAAAAGAGCACATTTTAATTATTGATTACATGTATGTTAGGGGGATAGGATTTCAGTGACAATGTCTCCTATTCTCTTTAAAAATATGCAATGCTCAGTCTTTCTCTTCATTAGAATAATTTCCTTTTTTGGGAAGCAAAAGTATGGGGCTGTCTTGTGTTGAGTACTGCTGTCATACATTATTGACAGAATTAAGCTGATCCTCCCCCAGATCTATCAGGCTTGGCTTTATGCTGCAAACACACTGTGTCTGGCTTATTGCTCTCAGCTAGCCAGTTATGGACCAGATTATTATAGGGTAAGGCTTTCATTGTAGCTGAAATACAATTAATCTCAGCTATGCAGTGCTTAAAGAGAAGGAATAATCAATGGCTTCAATTTTTAATGTTCTCAGAGAATAGTCTTGTGTCTCAGTTATTTTGGTGGGAAATGGAAGTTGCAATATAGTATAGCTTTCCTATCGTTAGCAAGTAAGATAGCTAGCAATGGTGAATGATGCTTTTCATCGCTGCAGTAGATGCAAGCAACTGAATGTGAGGACTACTATCAAAAAAGAAAAGTTTCACGCAATTTCCCTGCCTTCCTATAAGGCTGCTCCAGCCTCACATTCTTTCCTTTTTCTCTGTTTGTGCTGGTTAAGAAAGACAGAAGGCAGAGGCGCTTCCATCCTTGGCTCTGTCTTTCCCTTTCAGCCACTTAAGTCCATTGGCACCACCAGAATATGATGAACAGCTGTTTATTTGGGGGCTCAGAGAAGGCAGGCTTATCTAGATAGGTTGTCCCCATCCCAGAGACCTAAAAGTTAAGTTGGACTGCATGGATACATCCATGTTTTTTCTTGGCCACAATATGGAACCAATTTACCTTTGCTTTCTTTGAGTTTTTTGCTTTTTTTTTTTTTAAACCTGACATTTCCTTGGGATCTCCCATTCAATCCCAACCAGGTCCACCTCTGCTTAGCTTTTCTAGGAATAGGGAAGGACCATTAGGTGGGGCCACGTGCTGTGATCCCAGGGGATTAGAAGAGAAAAGTAGCAAAAATATCTTAAGTATATCACCAAGGTCTTAGAAAGCAATATTTTAAAGATGTTTTTGGTTTTCCTGTCTCCTAGAAAATCAACACTTGTTGCAGTAAATTATACCAAAAGGTCAGTGCCCAGGGCTATAGCTCCCATCACTCTGAACTACTGATATCCTCAGGGTTGGAGTAAAGTGTGAGGTCTCCCATCACTGAGAGCAAAGGCTTCCTATTTTAATGGATAGTCATTGATTTGTACAGTGTCCCAAGTCACATTCCAGAAATATGGTGAATATTCTCAGGACAGGGAGAACATACTTTTCTGCCTAGACAGAATAATAAATGGGAAGATAGCAGATTCTTCATATGAATCAGCCCTGAGATTCTCAGAATCCCGTGACAATCTCTTGATGGCAGTTTTGTGTTTTGTTGCATGACCGTAGATAGCCATCACATCCTAGTTATCCTTATTTAACATGACTCCTGATTCCATTTTCTTGTTCTTTGTTGTTTTCTGAATGGATGGCTCTGGAATCTTAAATTTTCATCAACAAAACTTGACTTATTGTTGGGAGGAGAAATATCTATTTCCCTCCCTCCACAACATCAGAATTTGCACAAATGATATTCCTGATCATGGTTATGTAATTGCTAGCACTACAATATTCCATAAAGGCAGTTTTCAGTTTTAGTTGCATTCTATGTTTATTTTTCCACATCATCTTCTCTCCCTATTACTATAATCCTGTGGTTTATCAATGGTCTAACTGTATAAGTTACACTTTCAGTTTGTCTGCCAGCTCATGTGTTTATGACAGTTTCCTTAGACTTTCCAAATAATCATGTATTCCTCTCTTTTTTGGAAGGGAAGTGGCATTGATTGAATTGGCAAAGCAGTCCATTTTGTTTTTTATTTATTTAAAAACATTGTTTTTCAGATTTTGACTTGAACTCTTTCTGGCACTGGAACAAGTTTGCAGATTATGTGCAGTGCGTTCTGGCTTTCACTGGGGTAACAGGATACATCACTTACCTTTCCCTTGACTCCAGTATCTTTGTTGAAACACTGGGTTTCCTTGCTGTTTTCATTGAAGCCATGGTGGGTATCCCGCAGCTCTACCGTAATTATCAGAATAGGTCAACTGAAGGAATGAGGTAAGATTGTATGCATGTATCATAATTTCTGGCTCTCTTGATTGTTTTCTTCACCTAAGTGGCAGCCCCAGAATTTCTTTAACTAAACACAGAGAGAGAGGGAGAGAGAAATGCTGTATATACTCGTGGATAAGCCCATCCACAGAGAAGCCAACCCTCAAATTTGTAACCAAATGCCATGAAAACTGCACCACAAAATTTTCATGTTTTAATTTTCACAATTGGCTTACCCACAGGTGGCACACTTTTCATGGTATTTTCGTTAAAAATTCAGTGGTTGGCTTAACACAGATGGGCTTATTCGTGAGTATACGTATATGGATACTTTAAAAAACAGTACCATATATACTTGCAGATAAGCCCATCCGTGGATAAGCCAAACCGAACTTTTGGGGGTGTATTTTGGAGCCTAAAATTCTTGCCTTATCTGCAAGTATATACGGTATGTCCACAATTCTGGCTCAGCTCTAATACTTTGAGAATACTGGTGGTAGAAGATTGGGAAACGCTCCTTTTGCAAAGCAAGAATTTTGGGACTGAAATTGGGAGGCAAGAAAGATTCATAAAAATGTAATATTAAAATAGAGTTCGTGTGACTCTGTGTGTGTGTATAAGAGTCTATGTAGTTATATGTAGTGTATACAATCTTAAAAGAATGTCCAGAACTAGGAAATACGCTATTGTCTGTGTTATAAGCACAGTGGATGTGTACCCTTTATGTAGTCTGGAATTTTCTACAAGCTTGAATGTAATGATGCATCACAATCGCCTGAGCTGCTGCTCTCCTCCTCCTTCTCCTCCTCCTCCTCTTTGTTTGATTATTAGCTTATACTCTAGATGGGGAAGTTCATATATAGACTGGTCTACACAATATAAACATTATGGCTGTGTGCTGCACATTTTGGAAAAAAATAGAGCAAAAGTACTTCAGATTTCCCGTGAATGTGCTAACTCTTTGCTGTTCATTTAATCATCCCAACTGGTTTCAGGCTTTGTACGAGACTGTGTTCATCCAAGTTCCAAAGCACCTCTGAATACATTTCAACGCATACATAGCCCTTATATACCCACAAATAGCATCATTAGGTTGTTTGAGTGAATTTTGCAATAGATTTAGCATATATAAATGTAGGAGCTAGTATTCACATCAATTTTTGTCACTGTGATATGGAACAAGCAGAATTTTAAATTATAAAGGCCTACTTTCCCAAAATTTAGAAGTTGCCAATGGAGACCTTTGAAGAGTCTCTTAACACTTTTTGTGTTCACCACAGATACTGATCTATCTTTCCACAGAGATATTTCTATTCTTGGTGTCATAAAATGCTGATAAATTCAATTTTCAAAGTAGAATTGCAGTCTAGTACAATGTTCCTGTGGATGTGTACCCTGCTTATTATGGTTGTTGCCCTTGATATGTTGGCTATGTGTTGTTTTCTTAAAACTGGTGTCTTCTAAAAAGCCAAATTGACCTATGTCTCTATTTCAATATGCTGACTTTTTTGAAGATGTAAAGTATGTTACCCTTATATACACAGAAATGCTGTATAATTGTATGCTGGAAATGGAACTGTATTTATTTCTAAGAAGTATTTCATTGAAAACACTCTCTTTTTTCCAGGGCCTCATTTTGGAACCCTTTTTGTCATTTTGATTTTCCAATCAAAGAAAAATTTTTGAAGTGATAGTTTGGGGCTCCTCTCTCTTTCCCTCCTCATGGATGCCTGAGGCATTCTTTGAATTTGGCAGAGCTCTGAGCGAGCTGCACAATTTCTTTCTGATGTTTCTTTTGCATCTGCTTAGCATCTGGGAGCAGTAAAGTCTTTTACTGTCAGCCCTCAGTCTTACTGTTTTTTTGGCAGACCTGGTTGTCCTTTGCAATATTATCTTAATTGTGCCTTTCATGAATTCTGTTCTTTGTTACCTTATGCTTTCTCTTTCTTAATGATATGTTGGGAATTGAATTAATGCTATTCTCTTTCTCCAGAAATGCTGTTATTTAAACGAGAGAGAGAGCTCTGCCTTTATTAGCTTATATAGCATTGCAATATAGGGGTACAAAATGTATATTCTAAATTGCATGCCTTCTAGAAGAAAACATGATAATATGTATACAGCATGTCAATTGTAAGACATTGTAGTAAAACACTGTAGCCTTTTTGTGGTCAGGAGTTCTGTTTAAAATCTATTTATTCAGAATACACATCAACGACCACAGTGAGATAGAGTTTTCTTCAGTTCAGAAACCCCATTAAATTGGGTTCACTATTTACTTCAAAAATCTCTGGATAAAATCTCTATTTTATCTTCCTTTTCCCATTCAGTTGAACCTCGTCTGTTTTAAAGGAATGTGGAGATAACCTTAATGAAGGGATGGATGAGCATTTAAGGGAAGAAAAATATCAATTCTATCCAGGGAAAGTGTGTGAGAAAGAGACTTAGAAATAACCCTGCCTGGATTCTGCTTGGTATGAGGGAGGGCAGAGGGAAATGCTAGCAGGCTTTTGCAATTCTCTTATTCTACCCTACAACAATAAAGTAGCATTCCTATAATCCTGGTGGTATCTGTTTCCTGACCTGATTACTTCAAAGGGCTGACATCTGCGGACTGCAACAGTTCCTGTTACTTTCATCAGTTCAGGATGAGCAGAAGCTACAATGTACTGGGATGTTGATGGTCGGACTAGATTGTTGGGACTTTGTCTGCACATCACCTACCTTGCAGATTATTCTGAAGATAAAATGAGGGTGGTGGGGTATTGTGTACACCTTGGAAGAATAGTGGGAGGAATGTTAATAGCAGTTTTAAAGAATTTTAAAAAGAATATCCCTAAATGCTAGGAATTTGATAAAAGGTAATATAAGGCTTTTTAAAAATCTTACGGTCAGTTATTGTCTGAAGCAAGAAATTAACCTATAGAAGCTTGGTATGTAGCTGAGAATTTTCCACCATAGTTCCCTTTTGCAGAGCTGCCAAAGAATATAGGAAATTCATGATTGGAACATGCATGTATGAAATGCATTACAAATAGTAATTGCATGGCCGTTGTTGTTTATGGTATAGGTCAAAGAAGCTAGCTAGGTCAACTTAAAAAGAAGAAATACTTTTTTCTGAAGATATGTTAAGTAAAACCTGTTTTGCTATACTCTGACCATTATAAACTATGACCATTCTACTCTTGGCTACCAAATGCTCAATCTCTCAAAATAGCGCACTAGCATCATCAAATAAATAATTCCTTAATTTCTTTCCTGGTCAAGCTTCCAATATGTCAACCATCATTTTTTACTATAAAAGAGTATTTTAATTGTTTTATAAATGAGAATTAAATTTATGATTAATTATGTCTGTAACATTTGATTATTAGAATCTGGAAATAGGTGTATCATTTCAGACTTCTTTGATGTTAACATTAAAGTTTCTTTGGAGCACGGGGGGGGGGCAGGAAATGAACATTGCATTCTTTTCCAGATTGTGTAGCTGCTATAGTTGTCATATTGTAACAATCACCATTTAATCACCATTTCTCCCAAGGCTGATGTTGCCACTAACTTTCACTTCCTCCTTTCTACTTTTTCTATAACCAATATATTCTCATCAGCTTCCTTAGTCGGACACGACTTAACGACTGAACAACAACAACTTCAAGCAATTATTTGTTGAGGCTATGGATAATTGGCTGTTGGTGTGTGGAATCTGGCAACTCAGCTAGATAAAAGTGTGTATATCAGGAACTCTGATATGGATTTAATTCAGTGAATAAATCTGAGCTTGATGTAGCCATACAGAATAAACTTGATCCTTGTGAGATAAGACAGCATGTTAAAACACATACTATCAGTAAACTAATTTTTTAAAATAATGATTGGATAAGCACAAGGAAGAAAATTAGCAATTTCTAAGTGCAACAACACATCTGCTTTAGATACTGCTTAAGGTGAGCCTTTATTTTTGAAATCGTAGAGGACCTGAGATTGAGGAAAAAACATACCACTGATAGGGGTGAAAGAGGATTTTTTCCATTCTTGGATAGTTTGAAAGACTCCAGACTACTGCTGAAGATGAAAACCTAATATTTAAATTGCCTAGACTGATCTTAGAATCTTTAAAATAAAACAACAATATGAATTACTGACATGATGTTTCAGTTAAAATAAATGAAGAGCTTAAATATTATCATATTACATTTTCTTGATGGATTTGCAAGACAAAATAATTAAATTAATCTCTGTTGATAATTGTGAGTTCTGGTGTGGCCTTCCACTTCCAAAAATGGTTTCCCAGACAAGATTAATCTCTAATTAAATGGTAGATTATTGCCCTTTTGGCATTCTAAGTGGTCTCTGAATACTGAAATACACAACTTACAGAATTTTCTTAATGTGCAGCATGGCCTCAAATTAGGTGTTCAGTGTTTGATTTCTACCTTGCTGTGGGCCTAATCCAGAAGTGGCATTGCTTCTGCATTCTGTGAAGATTTAATTATTTGAATTAATACTTCTACATTGAATAATGAATAGCTTGCAATATTTTCATGATGGCAGTGCCTTAAGAAAAACAGCATTTCTGACGTTATCACCTCTCACCCTTATGGAGGTGGAGGCCTGCCTATCTACAGCCTCCATTTCCGACAGCAGAACCACATGTACTCAAGGCAGCGTGGGTATGAAATCTGCTTTTAAGTCTGAAATACAAATAACTCTCAGAATTCTTGATGCCTCCTTTACAATCCTTGAAACAAGATTTCTCCTGGAAACCCATAGCATGTGGGTTTCATCCTACCTAATGAGCTGCTTGTGATTTGTGCTAATTTTAAGGATGCCTCAGAAACCACCTGAAAAGGAGAGACTGCACACCCATTGTTAGAATTTGATTCAAGTATTTAACTGCTGTGGCAGATGTCTATGTGAGTCTTGGTAGCCTTCAGTTACACAAATCTGCCCTTATTTTTATTAAAAACTTAGTCTATTGGCAGCGAGCACATTCCAAGATGATGCTG